TACAGTTGTGTTATGAATTGTGTTGTGAACCAAGATCAGAAATGCCGTAGGTTATATAGAACGGATTTCCGTCGGAAATCCATCGGAATTCCGTCACAACACTCCGACATAACACCCCACCAATCCCATCGGCCACCGCTAACGAAATGCCTTCCACTAAAAATTTGCCGACATCAAATGTCCGACGGAATTCCGACGAAATATGTTCCGTCGGTATGCGCTGACCAATCAAACTTTGCCGACATCGAAAATATCCGATTTCCATCGGAAATCCGTCGGAAAGTCGTCAGAATATACCGACGGTTTATATTTGTCGGAAATCCGTCGGTACAATACGACGGATTTCCGACGGATTTCCGACGGTTTGCGTTTGGTCGCAATTCCGTCGGTAAATCGACGGAAATTTCCGACGGAAAACTTGACCGTCGGAAATAAGCCTGTTTTCTTGTAGTGTTAATTACTTAACCTGTAAGAAGATAATAAAAAGTCTTATCTTTTCAAAATGTTAGACCAAAAAAAAAAAAAAATCTTTTCAAAATGTAAACAATTTTGTACCATATATTAGTTGTTTGGTGATGTAAATGATATATTCGTCTAATCACATCAATGAAAATCACTATTTTTTTTATGTAATTCAAGTCGACATAAGCTATTAAGTGTATGGGACAAAACGTTAAACGTATTTGCAATATGTTTTTTTTTTTTGCTAAAGAATATTTGCAATATGGTTCTCATTGGTCATCTTTACAATTATATAATCGACAATCAAAACAAACTTACCTAATTTAATTGTTGCGTCTTTTTGGGTGATTAATAACTAGTAATCTTAATCTTTCAATATCACTAAGATTCGTCATCAAAAGCGTAGGATACATATACGAACGGCCCATGTGACAAAGCATGCACACAATCACGCGCGTACCCTTAACTCGCTTGCCTTGAGATCCAGTCATACGAACCTAGCTACTCTTCAATACTCTCAGACATAAAGATTCGACGTCATTACAATGTACAATCTCTCGAATCGTATGCTTAGTTTAATTACTATCGTAGCATTCGAAACAAATAAAATAAATCATTTACATAATTATTTTTCTGCAACTTGTTCATTCAAACAGAACATTTAAAAATGGTCTTTTTCTCGCAAAGCCACTTTTATTCTTCGGAAGGAATCTGAATTTTATAAAAATAATTTCCATGTTTTAAATAATGATTTTATTGTCTAAAGAAAAAACGACCGGTCCAAAGACTTTGCACTACTTGTTTTCCTATAAATAGCCCAAGCACATCATCAAGTTTTCTTAACGAACAAAAACATACATCAAACCTACATATATATAGCAGCTATATATAAAACTTCTCGATCTTTCGGTCGCAGCCGTTGGATCAAAAATCTGATCATGGACAAGGTGATGAGAATGTCAACAGAGAAAGGAGTTGTGATCTTCACCAAGAGCTCATGTTGTCTTTGTTACGCCGTGCAGATCCTTTTCCGTGACCTTAGGGTTCAACCAACAATCCATGAGATCGATAACGATCCTGACGTTCGCGAAATCGAGAAGGCCTTAATCCGCCTTGGCTGCGCCAACGCGGTTCCTGCTGTCTTTGTAAGTGGCAAGCTGGTTGGTTCGACCAACGAAGTCATGTCTCTTCACCTAAGTGGCTCTCTTGTTCCCTTGATCAAGCCTTATCAGTCATTTCCTAACTAGGAAAAAAATATGGATCTGTATCAGTGAGAATAATGATGGAATGATCACACGAAAACGTGTATCATGTTCATATAATTATAGCTAGTTTTTATATTTTCTGTAGCTTATGTCTAAGAATTAATTAATTAGCTAGCTAGCTTTGTATTTCCAGCTTAATTAATCAGTTGATGTACTGATCATGTGTTTATCTATCTTTATGGAGAAATATAGTTATCATATATATTATATTGTCTTCCGTATTTTTTCTTCCTTTCGTATAATACTATCAATCAGCATTCTCGATGATGTTATAAGAACATTAATTTGGAGGTCGAATGAAATGATATCATAATTTAACATGAAAGAACAAAGAGATATATAAAAAACAATTGCCAAAAAAAAAGAGTAAAGTCTAAAGAAGATATATGTGTTTAACAATTACCAAAGCATGCATGTATTTGGTTCGAAGATGTTTAGTAGTAAAAGTTTTTTGAATAGAATCACTACAAAAGACAAGCTAGTTAGCATTATTTATTTTATTTGTTTGCATCGGTTTAAATTGATGCAAATAAGATTTACATCGTTTAAAAAGTGATGTTAATTTTTGTGTCAATAATTTTAAGTGATGTTAGTATTTGTATTGATTGTAACAATTGATGTTAAATCATTTGTATTAGTTCTTCTTTTGTGATGTTGTAATCAGATTTAACGTGATTTTTTATTATTATTAATAATTATAATCATACTTTTTTACCAAAATTGTTGTTAAAATAGAAAGATCAGCCAAATTTTAATGAGAAATTTCAAAAAATGCCACTTTACAAAACTGCCACATTTTTGAAATCTTTACAAAAATGCCACTTTTCAAAATTATTTTTTCTTTATATTATTTATGTTTGGGTTAATTATGTTCTATTAGGGTTTAGTTTTGAGTGTTTAGGGGGTTTTAGGTGTCAAAACATTTTTTACGGTTTAGAATTTTAAGATATAGGCTTTATAAATCTATAATTAGTGGTATTTTTGTAAATGGACACCCCTAAATGATATTTTTTGCAAATATGCACACAAAAAATGGTATTTTTGTAATTGTCCCAATTTTAATTGCAATATCCTAATGTTTAAAATAAACCAACCGATAACTCAAAATCAAACTTTGTTTTGGGATTTCGCAGAGGCAAATAAGTGCTAACTATTTATAAAAGAAAATTTCTTCATTCTCATGCTTAGTTGTCGATGTGGGATAAAAGTAACACACGTTCTTTAGTG